CATCCATTCGTTTCTTGAGTGGAGGCGCAATCTCTCGGACTTTATCCAAATTACCGTGTTCAAACTGCACGCTGCCCTTCGCTACATCATCGTACAGTCCGACATACTCCACGTGATGAAAAATGTACATGCTTCCCATATGAAAGACGATGTTTGAGTCGCCAGCGAAAGCGTCTGACCTCTTTTAATCCCAAACAGTCACCTGCGCCACGTCGTGCTTGTCTAGATAATCTACACAACCTCTGGCAATGCCCAAGGCTCCATTGACTTCCACACACTTCCTTCCGTCCACCAAGACTACGCGGGTCGCGTTGGTACCTTCAAGACGCTCAACGTGAACGCAACACATTCTCAGCGTCACACAGACATCAAGTGCAGGACATGGCGTTGTGATGAACTCACGGAAGTCTCTCACACTTGAAAACAGGTTGACAGCTTCTTCTTCCATTTGTTTCAGCACAGCTCGATGAATGGAATCTAGCAAATTCATTGTGAATCGACGCGACAAATTCGAAACTGAGAGCAGCAAAACCAAACAGTACAAACCAATTTAAACTGTCACCATCCGCTTTCAATAAGGGCCGTTTTTAACGGGATTGCGATCCCAAAAAGTGTGCTTTCATTGGACAAAAATTCATGTGGAAAAGGGTTATTTTGAAGATTACACAATCGCGAAATTCTGAGGTAGAGGTCGCACGCTGCGAGGGATCGCGAGATCGCAAAGCCACTGGAGAATGCAACAATGGTAGGTCCAGGCTGGACGGTGAACGCGCAAGCCACTCAGGGCCACCGCCGGCTTCTCTTTGTCGCCCTGGTTGGGGCAGCTATTGTACAAGCACCACAGCAGCGAGAAGCGTGCGTTTTTCCGTCGTCGTTTGGACTGGAACGTTCATAAGCAGACACTGTTGCTGGAAGGCCAATTCAAAAGATGCTACCGCATGGAAGCTTCGTCTTTTGAGCTGTGGCTATCGTTGATTAGACCCACTTTAGCCCGTGACGAGATCAAGTCGACGAATCGAAAAGGAACCGACCCAATAGAGCCTGAGAACATGCTACAAATGACACTTTCTTGGCTAGCCGGAGGCAACTACATGACTATTCGTGGTTTGGCTGGCATGTCTCCCTCTGGAATCTATGGATGTATGCATGCTGTTATGGACGCCATATGCCACTGTCCTGAGCTGCGCATTCATTCTCCAACGGAGTCAAAGGAACGCATCCACGACCTCGCCGAGAGCTTTACAAACATCAGCAAAGATGGCGTTTTGACGGGTTGTGTCGGGTGCATTGACGGGTGGCTGTGCCATATTCGCGCCCCAAGCACCAACGAGGTTCCAGATGTAGCTGCTTTCTTCTCGGGCCATTATCAGAAGTTCGGAGTCAATGTTCAAGCCATTTGTGACGCGTTCTCCCGCTTCACAGGCTATTGCATGAATTCCCCGGGGAAGGTCGATGGTTCAATTGCGTACAAGAAGTGGTCGCTCAGCATGGAGATCATGCAGCTTCCAGTTTGTTTTGTTTAGTTGGCGACAACGCGTACCCGTTGTCCGACTCGCTGCTCGTACCATTCAACAAGTTGGAGCTCAAAAGCCGAAAGCACTCCGACTTCAATTTCTATCTGAGCCAATTGCGCATACGGATTGAAATGGCTTTCGGTCTGTTGGTCAACAAGTGGGGTATCTTCAAGCGTGCTTTGGTTGTGGATTTTGTGAACGTGAACAAGGTGATCAAGACGTGCATGAAGCTGCATAACTTCTGCATTGACGAGAGAGTTAAAAATGAAGAGAGCGCAAAGAGACTTCAAGTTGTGTCGATGGAGTACCACAACTTGCCCGAGAGCGAGTATCAGCCGACAGACAATTCTGAAT